ATTTTACAAGACCAACGAATTCTCCCTTGAAATACCTTGTTTCAACAACATAAACGGCACCTATACATGTGGACCAGGCCAGATGAAATACACAGGAATCAAATCAACATCGTCTACATAAAGAGATGATGGTAAAGCTCAATATCATCAGTTAGAACAAGGCCAAGGACCTATTGTGGAACAGATCATCAATTGCTCATATGCAAGTTGCAGTTGAAGAAACTTAGAACAAGTCCACAAGAGCCAAAGTATGACCTTGAGTATATCTCACCTGAATATAGAGACCATCTCAAGAATAGATTTGCAACGAACACTAATTATGGAAGACCAGATGAGTTGCCGAATGACATCAAGGACATCATAAATGAAGAAAGCAAGAAGTCATTAAAAAGACAGAAAAGAAAGAAAAGACCAAAATATGTGTCAAAAGAGACTCTGAAACTTGCTCTTGAAAGCATAGTAGGTAAAATGAAAAGAAATGATAAAGTAAAAGAGTTGAATGGAAGATTACAAAGGGTGGCATGAGAAAACTAAGTAAAGTATTATGATGAAATATGCAAAAACCTGGTGTTAGAAAACCAAAAAGGAAGAACTTGCTCAACATTTCACAAGCTGAAAGAAGTGAATAAAAAATTCAAGCCTCAAGATGCAATATTGAAGGATTTTACAGGGAAAATATTAAAGGACATGGACAGGGAAATGCCTGAAATTCAAGCTAGATTCAGAAGAGGACATAGAAGGAGGGATACCCATTGCTGATGTCAGATGGATCTTGACTGAAAGTAGAGACTACCAGAAAGATGTTTACCTGTGTGTTATTGACTATGCAAAGGCATTTGACTGTGTGGATCATAACAAATTATGGATAGCATTTCGAAGGATTTGAATTCCAGAGCACTTAATTGTGCTCATGAGGAACCTGTACGTAGAGCAAGAGGCAATCATTGAAACAGAACAAGGGGATACTGCATGGTTTAAAGGCTGGAAAGTTGTTCATCAGGGTTTTATCCTTTAACCACACTTATTCAATCTGTATGTTGAGCAAATAATCCCAGAAGCTGGAGTATATGAAGAAGAAAGGGGCCTCAGGATTGGAGGAAGACTCATTAACATCATGCGATATGCAGATAACACAGCCTTGCTTGCAGAAAGTGAAGAGGACTTGAAGCACTTTCTGATGAAGATCAAGGTCTACAGGCTTCAGTAGGGATTATACATCAACATAAAGAAAACAAAAATCCTCACAACTGGTCCAAAAAGCAACATCATGATAAATGCAGAAAGGACTGAAGTTGTCACGGATTCCATTTTTCTTAGATTCACAATTAACCCCCATGAAAGTAGCAGTCAAGAAATCAAATGCTTTGCATTGGACAAATCTGTTGCAAAAACCTCTTTAAATGTGTCAGAAAAAAAGAACAAGTCTTAACTATAATCATCTAACCCATGAAACATTTCTCAAAATTAAGTAAGTCAGTTTTGTGCCAAAACAAGGACCTATTAACGTTTAAACTATCACAGAATATTGACAGAACTTGGGATGTAAAAAAAGAATTTTACTCAGTAATAAAAAGAAATGAACTATGCATACATACAACAAATTTGATAGAACTTAAAGGTATTACACTGAGTGAGAAGAGCCAGACTCCATTTTTACATATCGTATAATTCCATTTAATTATATCCTGGAAATGACTGAATTATAGAGATGGAACACAGATTAGTGACTACCCAGGGATGGAGATGGAGGTGGAAGGGGGTAGGTAGACTATTGTTGCTGATAGTTGGTGTCGAGTAGATTCCATTTTCATGGTGACCCCATAAAAAGACATTATGAAGGAGTTTTTTGTGGTTTGAAACAGATTTGCATCTGATTATGGTGGCTGTTACAAAAAATCTATACTTGGGATCAAATTATATAAAACTATGTACACACACACACACACACACACGCACAAATAAGGGCCTGTAAAACTTCTAAAAGCTAAATACACCCTGTAGTCTGGTTGTCATTATTATACCAATGCCAATTCCTGGCATTGCTATTGTCCCGCAGTTATATAAGGTGCTACCACTGCAGGAAGCTAGCTGAAGAGTGCAAGGCACTTTATGTTTATGCAGCTTCCTGTGAGTTTATCATCATTTCAAAATTTAAATGTTAAGAAAAACAGGTGCCAAAAGGTGAAAACAACCTAAGTGTCCATCAACGGATAAACGGATAAACAAAATGTGGTACAAACATACAATGGAATACCAATCAGTCATAAAGAGAAATGAAGCCCTGATTCATGCTACAGCATGGAAAAAACTCGAAAATCTTACGCATGCTCAGTGAAATACGTAAACCACAAAAGGACAACTATTGTAAGATCTCACTTATATGAAATAATCAAAATAGGCAAGTGTATAGAGACTAAAGTTTATAGTGGTTAATATAAGTTCCTATAAGGGGTGGGAGAGAGGAGGAAGTGGAGAACCAGTGTTTGGAAAACAGTGAATGTTTGTTTATGGCGATGGGAAATTTGGCAACAATTATGTTGATAGTTGCACACTATGATTGATGTAATTGATACCACCATATTGTACACCTGAAAAAATGTTGAATTGGTAAACGTTGTGTTGTATATATATTCACAACAATAAAAAAAATGATGCCTTTTCACAAACACAAGTTAATACATACCTGGGATTTCTAAAATCGTATTTTCTTGAAATGGAGGCCATTAACAGTGATTTTTCTTATACATTTGATTTTAACCTGTTAAAAACAAAGACCTATTAAGTCAGAACAACCCCCCAAAATTAAATTTTCATAAAATAAAGGAACACTATTCTACTAAACAATTTTTAAAAGAATGATAAATTCTGTAATCAATTAAAAAGCATCCTTTTGCTTTATGTCTATAAATATGCATAACTAAACACAGATTCTTTAAAGGGCTTCAAAATATTAAAAAAAGAACATTATAAATAAACTTTATAAAAATATACATCAATCCTTTCTAAAACTACCTATGCTACCTTGGTGAAATTTTCAATAACATTAATTCTATTTACATCCTTATCTAGGACAGCAGGGCTTCTTTCTCCTATGCCCTGAGGATTATATAATCCCTTGAGGGAAGTTAACATTGACTATCACAATTTAGGGTGCACACACAAACACCATAATTTCTTCCCTGCAGAACTTATCATGCGGTAGAGGTCCTGAGAGAGAGCTATGTCTGGATTTCTAACCAGGTAAAAAGAATTATAAACTCTAGGTGAATGCCATGTGCTCTGTGGCATGGTGGCTCTGGTGTCAAGTGTGTGGTTTCCCTGCACATACACTCTTGCCAAATTCACAACTACAACTTTCATATATA